GCGATACAGGCTCTGTCTTTTAGACTTGGATGCCCTCTCTCGAATAGCAGCGGACTGAAACCTCGCATATTTGCGAGAAAGACGTTGAACCTCGCGGGCAACTCGGTCGGACTCGGATTCTTCAGTCTACAAGTTTAATGTTAGCAACTGTAAGCTTGTGAAGAATCAAAGTTGTGCTTTGATACGCCATCTGACCAGTCCCCAAAGTGCGTCTTTTGAACATCCCCCGGGGTTCCTCAGCTTACCAGTGATTCCTTTGTGATTTGAGGGCCAACTTGGAAGCCGGGGAAGTTGATGGCCTTGATAGTATCGAGGGCATCAGATCCAAGGGCATCCTGATCCTTCAGCTCCCTCTTGGAGGAACTGCAGCCACCTTCGAATGGACAATGCTGAGATACTTCCCAGGGAAAGAAGGCGTGGACAGACGTCAAGAACAGGGACAGCTGGGCGAGGAGTAGGGTAGAACGCATTGTGCCTTGGCAATGGCTAGCAAGTCGAAGTGACGCTCGGTACGGATATGTCGAATGGTCGATGCAAAGATTTGAAGCGTAAAGCTGTCGAGGGGTAGCGTGAGTGTTTACAAGTTGAACCCTGGCGGCAACTCGACTGTGCTTGACGTGGTGAATGAGCTGGTGGAAGCTTATGACAGGTGATTGACAATCGCAAAAAGATGAAGGCAAAGTGATTCGCTACAGTCGATTTCGGCAAATGCAAGCTCGACCAAGCAAGCGGGTACCAGACTCCGCGATTTCGGACAAATTATGGTATTAGGGATTAAGTTGAGCGCATTGAAGGCTGGTAGATGCTGTACGGAGAGCCGTTCAGGAGACAGATGGTTTATGAGAGGAATGCGTAATCTTTTGAGTGTAGGCTTGGCTGGTGGTTCTGAAATGCTGTACGCGGGCCGGTCGAACCAAGGGTGAGACAATGGAATAGAGGGGCGGATGATCGAGGGCGGCGCCGGCGAGGAGTGCCAGAGACACGATGCAAGACAATGAGACAGGTGCAAGGGTGAAGAGCCAAGGACAAGGGACTAGCAGAAGCGATGAGAGGTTCTGCTGTCTGTCTATATCTATGACCAAAGACAAAAAAAAAAGGCGACCAAGGGGAAAGCACCTCTTGGAAAAGGATGAGATGCGCCCCGGGAGAGAAGGAGGAGGGTGGAGGTCGGTGAGGTCACGTAAAGTGATGATGTGAGGTGATGAGGAGAGAGAAGGAGGCGAGGAGGGGATCGTGGGGAGTAGATATGGAGATTTGCGAATCGGAGAGCGAGGTGCCCCTGTTGACTTGCCAGACCCAGGCGAGCTAAGGCTTCTAGCGACGATGGGCTGGTCCAGGGTCGCAATTGGGACGTGTGGAAGTGCAGGCGCAGGGTAAACCGCCATGGATGGTGATGGGCGGATAGGCGGGCTGGCAGGGGTTACGGAGTACGAGTACCTCACAGCAACTGGAGTCTGGAGGACGCTACAGCAAAAAGGTCAGACATGGCTTTACATTGAAAAGAGCTGCACATTCACGAACATTGTATCCGTACCTAAGGTAGTGTAGGTAGGCTAGCAAGGCTACGGATGGGTAGGTTATGAGAGTGCTGAGTACCTTGAGAGGGTAAAACGGCCGAAGGAATACCTACTTACTTGGAGCTGGCGCACGATGGCTTCCACTGCTGGACTGGCTCAATCATCAATGTCCCCCCAAGTGGATGGCTCTAGACTCGAGTTAGTTGGGATGGACAGCGGCTAGTCAGATCTGCACACATGCATGCAATTGCACAGGGGGGGGAACGGCGTTTCTGGCTTGATTGTGGACTGTGTGGTTGCCATCGGTTGTTCATTGCCTTTGGATCGCCATTGGGTCAAACTTGTCAGTTGTTTCTGCATTGTTTCTCGCGCACCTCCATCTTTCCGGAATTCTCTTTTGGTTACGTCTATCAGCCGCCAGTGTCTTTTGCTCCTTGCTCTTTCTTTCTGTTCGTGTCTTACCAAGGAAAGCCATGCTACGGTCGAAGCCACCCCTGACTTCCATGCAGAGTATCTTAGGTACCTACGCTTGTACGGATACCTCATGATGTACCTATCCTTCCTCCGTACCTTCCATTGGATGATTGGGTCACGCTTTGTGTGGAGACCACATGGTCCGTGGCGTCATGCAGCTCGCTGTTTCCCAGAGGAAAGTGGCAGGAAATACCCAGCAAAACGAAAAGGAAGGAGCCGAGAAACGAAGGAAACACTCACAACACCTTATCCCCTTGGTTAAGCACTTGAGGCACTCCCTCTATTGAGTCTACACATCAACCGAGAAACAAAGTCTCTTCCTTGTGTTCTCTTGGGATGAACCACGGGTCATCCATTGGCCAATTCGGTCGTCCATTCAGATCAACATGCGACATTGATTGGGCCCCTGCTTTACGCGTCTCTCAACCCCGGCTGTCGATTCTTTTCTCTTTCGGGCCCGCGCTTCTCCAGTCTCCAGTCTCAGGGGCGCTGTCAATCAGACCTTCTTTGCTTCCAGGTTGCTTGTTGCTTCTAGGGACCACCAATCCATGTGTCCATGCCAAGTGCCTTGGCTTGGTCGGTCCCTTATCTTCCCGGAATCCCACCTCGTCCACCACCCGTCTGCCGACGCATGCGGCTGTTGTTCTTGATTCTTCGATTATTCGAGGCCTCACTGCGTCCTTGTCTTCTGTCTTAAGTTCCTTTGCCTTACATCTGGACTGGCCCTCTAGATCGGTCTAAACACTGGGCGCGAGGGGCGGAACAAAATTACCGGGCTACTCAATCGCTTCGTCGTTTGCATTTTGCATCGCGTCCCATCTCCACCTCAGCAAGCCACGGCCTCGTGGTAAAATGCCTTTTTCTCGTCACGGTGGCCTCGGCCGTCGACCGTTACCGTGTGTGGTGGGATACGAAAGTCGAACAGGCAATTACTAGCCGCAGCCACCGAAGAAAGACGCTTAACCTGCCTTAGCGGCATTGGCGCCTCAAAAACAAGGGGCACCTCAACCATCTCCACTTCCAATGTCGCCCTGCTGCTGCTTCGGGCCATCTTCTCCAGCTTCTCTCCAGGCCGCTCCCTTGCAGCAAAGGTGGCTACCGGCCCTTTTGGGACAAAGTCGACGAGTCCAAATATGATGGACATTGGCCCGTCACCCCATCCGCCTATCTACCAATCACCACCACCATCCAACACGGCATCTTTGCTTCTTGTCTCACTGGCGATGCTCTCCCGAATCTCGCCCGCTTCTCGCTCACTTCCTGTCCATGGATTTGGAAGTTGAACAACCAACCACGCCACAGATCTCGTTTCTTTTGTCGACTGCTCGATGACGACTGCATGCGACTACCAGCGCTGTGTCGAGACCATCTCTTCGGCCGGGAACGTGCGTCTGTCGCCGGACTCGAGCACGGCACTTGCTCGACCGCGCATCCACGTCAATCAAACCATCAAACGGACTGACGGGCGCTGGGACTGGCTCGTGCTCCTCATGCCATTTGGATATCCGATCTTCCATGGCCAGGACCGTAGGGACTCCAACTGAGGTGGTCCACAAAGTCCATGTTGAAGCCCCCAAGTTGCAGTGCACCGCAATCTTACGTATCTCTGGTCCTGCTGGCTCGCTGCTCTCTGTTCCACTCCTGCGTAGAGTGGCACGACTGGCTGCCTCGGCCATTCTACGGGCGTCTGACACCCTCATTTTCAATCTCGAGCCTCTCTAGCCGTTTGGGCCATAACTTCTAGGCCCCCCGGCAGCTTTGGCGAGCTCTGGGGCCTGGACCAACATTCAACCATGGTGCAGCAAATGATGAATCGACTGAACTGGTCGAAGATCAAAGAGGGGATGCTTGCGGTACACTAGATGCTCAATTCGCGATAGAAATCATCGCCGTCAAGGGCCCTGGGCTGCTCCAGGATCCAATTTGCCTCGAGCCACCTGAGCTTTACACTCAAAAACTAATTACCCGGCCCTGTCGTTGTAGGCCAAAGCTTCTTCCTTTTGAGTCGGTTAACAATCCATGAGAATTTGAAAAGACAATTACAGAAACCACCGCCTGCGGCGCCTAGAATCCCTTCCTCATCGGCATGGAATTCACTGGCCAGGCGCCTCAACACCAAGTCTTCTCCCCCAGCAAAACCTTCGGCTGGCGGTTTCCTGGTCCGATAGTGGCGCTGCACGAGCATCAGCATAGTCGCTTCGCTGCAGGTAATGGCGAGCCAACATGATGCGCGGGCGCCAAATCATACAGACGTTCTCCAGTGCTGTTTGCAAGCAACTGTTTGATCATTGTTTAACACGATGTGCATCATCGCGATCGACGATGAAGTCCACGCTCTATATCCGATGTTGCATATGTAGGAGGCGTTTACTGCCAACATTTCATAGCGAATTGGCTCTCGCTATCTCAGCCGTACGTCCTGATCTTCTTCAATGAACTGCTAATGCGGATATGGCAGGCGGCCAGGGGCTTCCGAATGTGGGTGTGATGGACAGGGGTCACGGCCGCGGGCCCGCGAAGGGTTTCAGCCGCGAATCACCGAGTCTCAATCAGCTCAGCATGGCTGTCGGCTGTTGCTCGATTCGTTGCTTCAAGAATGCTTCCAATTACAAGATGCATTGTGCTAATGTGCTGTTGGAACTTGGGAGGCCAGAGCTTCTTGATCTTGCTGATCCCTTGAAGCACCACCTCGTAAAGCCATTGATTGCAATCATTCGCTAGTACTAGGCATGATTCCCAGCAGCATTTCATCTGCGGTGCTCTCTGCTCTCGAATGCGCTAGGCGCAATACCGCTGCTTATTTTTATTTTCCAAAGAAAGCAACGTTTCCCAAGTCAAATCCCATTGTTACGAAATGGATCCAGGGCTCAACCTGGAAGCTCATTGTACCTGAGAAATGACATTGATGTACTCCGTATGCGTCTTCCAAAAGTCTAATTTTGGACGCGTATAATCAGCACTGGTGCCGGGATTTTACCAGTTCCCTCCTCTATTCCATCAATATCACGATCACTGGTCTTCTGTACAGGGTGCCTCGTCATTGGAACCGTACATATCCCACCACGTCCGCGCCTTCCTCAGTGCTGCGGCTTCGATAGAGTCCTCAGCGCTAGTTGCTACTAGGCGCTCTTGAACATTCACGAATCTACCCCTATCGATTTGTCCCAGTACTGGCCAAGATGCTATTGTGCGTAGAAACGACCAGACTGACTCATTGGACCACCGGAGAGATTCTGCCAAACCCAAAGTCTCGTTATAAACCAACGAAATTGTCCCTCTGTCGTCTTTCCCTAGCCTATCAAGCAGATGAGCGAGGAAAGACCAGCCGGAAATATCTGAATGATGTCTGAAAGACCACTGCTTAGCACTATGAATCAGTGACACAAGCACGTCTAGCTCGGAAACGACCAGGAACGTCTTTGTCAACCACCGAGCATGAGTCCATGCATAATAGTTTCGCGGATGTCGCTCTCCAGCCATCATGACAACTGTTTCGATATCCTGTTGAACCACGAGAGCAAGCCTGGCATCACGGTATCGCTCCGACAGCCAGCGTCGATGGTTCCATAACGTCGGTGACTTTGTGTGTCGATGAAGTCGGCTGGTGAGCAGACTATCCACAAACCACTTCTCCCGTGCTAGATACGCCTTCATGGTGTTACCCGTGGAGATCGCATCGGAGAGAAGACGCTTCCTGGTGTTGGCGGCTGTGAGGTGCTCGGGGTCCATCAGAAGCAGTACGCTTGTCGCGGCCATCAGCTGCTCACGCCCCTCGGAGCCGTTGGCTTTGTACTTCTGGAGAATCTTTCTGGCGAAGAGAAAGGCCTGGACGATACGCAGCTTGGGGATCGCAACTGCATTTTCGTCTCGTAGGAAGTTTTCGTCCGGGCCCATTGGATGGCCCTGGCCTAGGATTTCAACTTCGAGGAGACCATCATCCTGCGGCTGGGCAAAAAGCCCGGAAATATCGTTAAAGATTTTCTCGTGGTCGCCTTGCTTTAGAGCAGCGATGATGTGCTTATTCAGAGCTCTCGACATTGCTGTATTGATGGGTGGGTGAACGGGGCCGTCTTGACTTTGAGCATGTCTGTCAGCCTCACGACAGACCGCTCGCAACGGAGATGGTTGTGTAACGGCAGCTCTTGGATCGTAAGCCCGAACCTCAGGAATGAACCCGAATCTAGGTTCAAGACGTTGAGGCCGTTCAGGTCTTGCTCTAATGGAATGTACACGCGGAAGTTGAAGGTGATTGGTTCTTGCTGTTTGCTCTTTGCTAAGGCGGCCAGTGGCTTACAGTGGCTAAGGTCCCCGCTAAAGATGCAATTCGCGGGGCAATGACATAGGACCACGTTTTCCCGCCCACCCAAGGGCACAATCGAGCCCGGTCACACACCTACCTATCGTCTCGCAACGACAACCTTTCAGCCTCGCCATTACAGACATGTGCCGATAGATACCCGAAACCGCTTGCGAGTCTGTGATCTTCAAAAGGGTTGTTCACCATGCCCTCTCTACTCGTCATCATCCTCGTGCTGGAGGTGTTCTCCCACCTGGTCAACACCGTCGGAGCTGCCGCCATCAACAATCTGGTCAGTCTTTTTTACCTCCCTTTGACTCCTCCCCGCCTCCGCCTCTGACAGGGCCGGTCGCGGAATGATCGCCGATTTGCTAACAGCTTAGCAGCTTTGGACAGCTATCAACTACCTTCCCGTCTCGACCGCCAAAGCAGCCGCGCAGCATCGAAAGCTGCAAGCCGACTTCCTCAAGACGCGAAAGGAACTGAATGCGACCAGCAGTCAGGATGAGTTCGCCAAGTGGGCCAAGCTCCGTCGTACGCACGACAAACAGCTGGAGCAGCTAGAGAAGAGCAGTATGTTACAAACACACAGGCTACGATGCGGCGGCTTACATGCCGGAACTGTATGGGAATCGGGATGGCTGACATTTTTCACTTTTTTACCAACCATACAGAGCAAACCCAGGAAGCATCGAAATCAACGTTTGACAAATACCTTACGGGCTTCCGCTGGGCCCTCACCAAAGTCCCTCAATACGGCCTGCCCTTTTGGTTCTCCAAGGAGCCCATGTTCTGGCTGCCGTACGGCTGGTTCCCCTACTACGCCGAATGGATCCTCTCGTTCCCCAAGGCCCCGATTGGCAGCGTTAGCATTGCCTCCTGGCAGTTGGCGTGTTCGGGCATGGTCACGTTGTTGACCGAGCTGATTGTCTCGGTTGTGGGACTCGTGTTCGTGGCGAAGCAACAGGACAAGGGAAAGCCGGTCAAGGTTCCTGCGTCATCAGGTAAAACGGCGACCAAGACCGCGGCTGGTTCGTCTGAGACGGCGAAGAAGGAGTTGTGATGCGGCTACCTCGGGCAACTGTGCCGACGTAGCGAGGACCCAAGGCAAGCACATATTAAATAAAGCAAATGTCTTTTGGCTCATATGGAATGGACCCAACGGTGTGACGCTAGAAATCTCGGTCGTCCACAGCCTCGGTCAAGTTTCCGCAGGAAACCGACCAGGTAGAATCTAGTGACGACGCAGTCTAGCAAGCGGAGCGAAATTGCTACATCCGTGCCTGGGCATCTAGACGCTGCAGTCTTTGTTTAATGCTACGGCCGCATGCTTGGGTATCCTACGAAAGAAGGAAGGTTTTATGGAATGTATCTCGTCTAATTTTGACGCAAAGTTCTTAATTGCAAGGCTAAGACTTTGTAACACGATCAAGAATAACCCTTGGCAGGGTATTTGGGGTTTGCTCTAGGCGTCATATTGACTTTGGTGACCATTTGAGTCCTTGCGGACGGCCAACAAAGCTTCGAAAGCGCCATCGTCACGTGTAGAAATCATCTTTGAGCGAAGGTTGGTGGTTAGTAGTGATAGCAAGTTAAGCTCAGGAAATGGTGCTGCTCGCAATAGCAGCTCTGAATCTGAGAAGCCGATGCTGGTCGAGGCACTCAAGAGGCAAAAGCGCAATTTCCAGATGTGAAACGACCTGGTTGCAGGTTTCGTTGACATAGTCTATACCGTTGAGTTGGTTGTGAATGTAGAGGAAAGAAGTAAGAAGAGTCTGCTGTGGATATTTCGCAAAAATATTTGCGAGTGAAAGTGCACCGCCACAGTCCACTTCGAGGTCGCGCCACACTGCGAGGTTGTAGGACAGACCCATTTACCGGATTAACCAACCGGCCGAAGACCGTGCTCAGCCCCATCGTGCATTCGCTCGGGAGGCAACGACATCAACTTAGCAGCTCTGTGTTTAGTACTTGCATCGACAAGCTTGATCAACAACCCCCATCGAACGGTTCGGAGCTCCCGCCATACATCAAAATGGCGCCGGCACAGGATACCATGTTTCGCTCGGCGAACATGAGTATGGTGCAGCTGTACATTTCGAACGAAATCGGTCGCGAGGTTGTCACAGCCCTTGGAGAGCTTGGTCTCCTCCAGTTCCGTGATGTACGTCGCCAACGCCCTCCCCCCCCTTCATGGATACTGTCTAGGTCGACACGAACATCGGAGCTGACCAGGCGTGATTAATCTAGCTCAATGGCGATGTCAGTGCTTTCCAGCGCACCTTTACTCAGGAGATTCGAAGACTCGACAATGTCGAACGCCAGCTGCGTACGTCATCATTCCCCCAACCGCGCATCACGAATCCCAAGGTGGGATGAACTAACATCGCGGCAGGCTACTTCTACGCCCAGATGGAGAAGGCAGGCATTCCTCTTAGAAAGTTCGATGTCGATGCCGAAAGACTCGCCAACCCATCGACCTCCGAGATTGACGAACTCGCCGAGCGAAGCCAGAGCCTCGAGCAGCGCGTATTCCAGCTTAACGACAGCTACGAGACCTTGAAGAAGCGCGAAGTCGAACTTACCGAGTGGCGCTGGGTCCTCCGCGAGGCCGGTGGCTTCTTTGACAGAGCCCACGGCAGCGTCGAGGAAATTCGCGCTTCCACTGATAACGACGACGCTCCTCTCCTCCAGGATGTCGAGCAGCACAACTCGGCCCCCGAGGTCGAGCGGTCCTTCTCTGGCATGAACATTGGCTTCGTGGCTGGTGTTATCAATAGGGACCGTGTTGCCTCCTTCGAACGCATTCTCTGGAGAACACTCCGTGGAAACTTGTACATGAACCAGTCTGAGATCCCCGAGCCGCTCGTTGACCCCACCAACAACGAGGAGATCAACAAGAACGTCTTCGTCATCTTCGCCCACGGCAAGGAGATCCTGGCCAAGATTCGCAAGATCTCCGAGTCTATGGGTGCTGAGGTGTACAACGTGGACGAGAACAGCGACCTTCGTCGTGACCAAATCCACGAGGTCAACGCTCGCCTTAACGACGTTCAGAACGTTCTCCGCAACACGCAGCAGACCCTGAACGCTGAGCTCACCCAGATCTCGCAAGCATTGTCCGCCTGGATGGTCCTGGTCACCAAGGAGAAGGCTGTGTACAACACCCTCAACAACTTCTCGTACGACCGTGCTCGCAGGACCCTCATTGCCGAGGGTTGGTGCCCGACGAATGATCTGCCATTGATTCGCTCGACGTTGCAGAACGTTACGAATCAAGCAGGACTCTCGGTGCCTTCCATTATCAATGAGATCCGCACCAACAAGACTCCGCCTACGTACATCAAGACGAACAAGTTTACTGAGGCGTTCCAAACTATTGTCAACGCTTACGGTACCCCCACCTACCAGGAGGTCAACCCGGCCCTCCCTGTTATTGTCACCTTCCCTTTCCTCTTCGCTGTCATGTTCGGTGACTTTGGTCACGCCGTCATCATGGTCTCCGCCGCACTCGCTATGATTTACTGGGAAAAGCCTCTCAAGAAGGTCACTTTCGAATTGTTCGCTATGCTTTACTACGGAAGATACATTGCCTTGGTCATGGGTCTTTTCTCCCTCTTCACTGGTCTTATCTACAACGATGTCTTCTCCAAGTCCTTGACGCTGTTCGACAGTGCCTGGAAGTGGGATGTCCCCGACGACTACAAGCCTCCTCAGACTCTGACTGGTAAGCTCAACGACCACGGGTACCGCTACCCCTTCGGTCTGGACTGGAGATGGCACGAGACAGACAACGACCTTCTCTTCAGCAACAGTTACAAGATGAAGATGAGTATCGTTCTGGGTTGGGCTCACATGACCTACTCCCTCATCTTCGCTTACGTCAACGCCAAGCACTTCAAGAAGCCCGTTGATATCTGGGGTAACTTCGTTCCCGGAATGATCTTCTTCCAATCTATCTTCGGATACCTCGTCATGTGCATTCTCTACAAGTGGTCCGTCAACTGGAGCGACCCGCAGAACCCTCGCAACCCCCCTGGACTGTTGAACATGTTGATCTACATGTTCCTGCAGCCCGGCAAGCTCGAGGACGGTGCGCAGCTCTACCCCGGACAGGCCACCGTACAGGTTTTCCTCCTGCTTTTGGCCGTTATCCAAGTCCCGGTCCTGTTGTTCCTGAAGCCTTTCTGGCTCCGCTGGGAGCACAACCACGCTCGCGCCAAGGGTTATAGGGGCATTGGAGAGAGCTCTCGCGTTAGTGCTCTCGACGGCGACGATGACGAGGACCACGGACTCAACGGTCGCCCCAGCTTTGAGTCTGATGGCGAAGGCGTTGCTATGATCACGCAGGACCTGCACGGTGACGGCGAGCACGAGGAATTCGAGTTCAGCGAAGTCATGATTCACCAGGTCATCCACACTATCGGTAAGGAATACGAGACTTAACAACCAAGATTGCAATGACACTAACGATGGATACAGAATTTTGCTTGAACTGCGTTTCCCACACAGCCTCTTACCTTCGTCTCTGGGCCTTGTCGCTTGCTCACCAGCAGCTCAGTTCCGTGCTTTGGTCCATGACCCTTGGACCCGCCCTTGGTTTCTCTGGCATCTTTGGTTCTATCGCTATCGTTGTGGTCTTCTACATGTGGTTCTTCCTCAGTAAGTTATTTGGCCCCCTCTTCTCTGAACAACGACTAACAACACACCCAGCTATTGCCATCTTGGTCATGATGGAAGG